TTCTCCATAAAGACAATTAAAATCATTAATATCTAATGTTTTTAAAGTATATATTGTCGAATTAGGTATGATATGATAATAGGTACCAACTATAAAATTAAATAATTTTACTTTGTTATTTATTAATTTCTTGACTCTATTTGTGTGGTCAACTACCAGTCTATAGTATTCCAAATCTTTTGGTAGCATGTTACTGTATAAATTATTTCTTAAAATATTATTTTGGGTTTCATTTGATTTTAACAATGGATTTTTACAATTACAATCCATTTTTATATTACACTCAATTGATGAGATTTGTTTTATATCTTTTTGATTAGATTGTTTTGAAATTAAATTCTTATAACTTTTTATATTTATCTGTCCATTGCCATCAGTCATACTCAATGACCGACTGAAAAAATCTTCCATTGTTTCTATTTCTTCAGGCACCATAAAAGCGTCGTCGTCTTCTTCATACATAACTGATTGCAATACATTGTTCGTATAATCCAACATTATACTAGGTTCATTTTCTTTTGATGGATTTGTTAATTTATTGACAGATGAATTATCTTTTTTTAGAATAATTAAGTACGCCCCTTTTCCATTACTTGGCCATCTCTTTTCAGATACATTTTTATCATTACAACATATCCATTTGAACTTTTCTTTTAAATATACGGTATAATGTCCAGATTTAGTATCATCGCCAAAATGAAATATTGTAGCCAAAGGCGTGTAAAAAAAATTTTCGATTGTAAATTGAGCTTTAGAAATATTTTTCAACTTCATATCTGTTATTTTATTAATTACATTTTGACCATCTATCCAAGCAGAATTGAATAATGACAATTGTAATACTAAGTAATCATTTGCCTTTATTATTTCGTGTCGTCTTTTGAAACCTCCTTTTTGATTACAGTTTTGGCAAGAATAATCAGCAATGGATGTCCATTTATTTTTATTCAATTCAAGTAGACTTTCTAACTCTATACTATGTTCATAATTAGAAGGTAATTCTAATCGTTTCACAAGATTTCGTTCCTCTTGACTGCAAATTTCTTTTTTACAGTAATCACAGTAGCTTATACAACTTTCGGTAAAACTGAATAAGACATCATATATACTACGGTTACAATTCATTAAAGCTTCCATAAATTCTACACAATCTTGTTGCTCATTTCTAGTAAAAATCGTGTTGTTTAAAGTGTCATCAACATATTTTCTTATTTCAAACGTATCAGTCACTTTATTAGCTTCATATCCAATTAGCTGTTGTTTTAATTTTTCTCCAACTTGACCTTTATGAATCGCACTTACTAACTTATCACAATGATATAAAGCTTGAATAACAGAGTTCGCATAACATGATACATTATCTATATTTGCAAAGCCAATGATTTTTCGAGAAATCTTTATTTTACTTATATTTATTTTATTTAACACAATTTTTTTTTTTGCAATCGATACATCTGAATGATCATTGTCATCGGTAATGCTCATTGAACGATTAAACATATCTTTCATAGTTTCCATATCTTCAGATTCAATAAGAGCGTCATCATCTTTACCGTGTACAACTGTTTCCAATGCATTTTCAATGTGTTTATTTAAATCCTCTGAGGATTGTAGTTTTTCTTTCAGTGGTGGTATAGAGTAGTTATCAATCCTTTCCTGGTTGTTAGATCGAGAAGGAGATTTTGTTCCTTTGTCCACTAAAATCAAAGGTCTATGGTCACTAACCAGATTTTCATAAACAATTACATTAAAATTAGTGTTGGTTATAACATTGTCAATACAAGTACCATAGTCTGTTGTAATTTCATTGACAAGTATTTTATACTTCATCTCTTCTATAGTTTTATTAAGAACATTGGGGATTTTATAGAAATTTATATTGAAATCCCCAATTATAATGATGTTTTCTTCATTAATACCGATGATATTTTTTAAGCATTCACACATTTTGTTTGTAGGAAATTTAGGCGAAACATATAATCCGAAATATGTGTAATTATCAAGGATAACACAAATAATTTCCATGTGTTCTGTGTTATGAGTAATAACTGAGTGTTAACTTGACTTGAGACTATGACGTATATTATTATTTATGAAGCATATTGAACCACTTTTGCCATTGTCATGAACTTTATTGATCCTACATACCTCTGTGAATCCTTCAATATTATAAAAATCAGAATCTGTAGTTCCAGTTTCTTGAAAAAATAGTAAATTTGATTTTAATAATATTTTATCAGCAAGAATGTGTTCAACATATTTGTTTAATGATCTTATATTGTGGGAAACACAATATATCGGGTGACTATTTAATGTCAAAAATTCAAATTTAGGTTTAATTGTACAAGATCGCAGTCTAGTCATTTCAACATTAACTTTAACAGTAGGTTTTGGCGGATTAGATGGAAAATAGTCTATACTCAAGCCCTTAGCCGATGTTGCTCTACTGCATCCAACATAAAGCATGTTGCACACTAAATTCTTTTTAGGCACATGATATGCAACATTTTCATAAGTTGCCCCTTGTGATTTATGAACAGTCAAGGCCAATGCCTCAACCAAAGGTAATTGTGTTCGAGTAAATTTCCGGTTCTCTGAGTTACCAATTTGAAATTCTAAGTGTGTAATTTCAATAAGCGTCCTGTGAGACCAGTCGTCAGATACATCTCCTTGAGGAGATAACTTTCCTTTAACTTTTTGTCTGGTGATTGAACCAATTTCTGGTTCGTCAAATTTTATCCACACTCTATGTGCAACTTCTTTACCATTAGCAGTTACTGTTCGGTTAATTTGCATCAATTCTCCAATTGCGCCATTGACAATACCATCTTCTGTACAGATATTTGTAACAACCATGTATTTTGCTGTTAATTTTAGTATTAGTGTTTTAGGTAATCCCATTGTTTTTTGTCTTGGAAGATTCTTTGCTGCAGTGATGTCAACTTTTCTACCTGTTGTATCTATTGCTTCAGACACAAAACTAGTAGTATTTAGACTACTTAATACTCTTCTATTCATATCATCTACCTCTTTATTTGTGGCCCATAGATGCATAATGCCCGGTTGAAAACTAATATCTAACGGTTTTGTAAGATTTATAAAAAAATCGATATCTTTTTGAGTCAGTTCTCCTCTTGCTAATTTAGTTAATACTACAGAAAATTCTTTATCATCTTTCTGCCTCATAATTTCAGTTAACTCATAAAACTGAAAAGTTTCCCATATCGCTTTCGTCGCTAGTAATTCTATCGAAGTTGGATATTTGGCAACTATTTGATCAAAATATTCGTACAGTGGTGTGGATAAAACTGGTGGTAATTGATAAAAGTCACCAAAAACAATCACATTTATATCACCAAATGGTTTGTCAATACGTAGAATATGTCTGAGTCGTTGATCAATGTAACCAAGAGTCTTTAAGCCAACCATAGAAATTTCATCAATTATGAGTAGTTTGACATTAGCCAGTTGACACCGTAAAGTATTTGATATGTCAGCACCAAGTTTTGGTAATATCCCAGAAAATTGATTAATTGGTAATTTGAATGCAGCATGAAGTGTTAAACCTCTTATACCGTATGCTGCTTTGCCTGTAGGTGCTGTGAGTAACACAGGAGTAAGTGACAAATCATCTATATCTGGCCTGACATTAGCTATTCTAATTGTTGATTGAGCTAAAGTCCGTATAAGTACAGATTTACCAGCCCCAGCTGGGCCAGTTACATAACATAAAATACTAGGTGCACCTGATCCCCATATTTGCTGTCTAAGTACATTAGTAACATGATAGAGAATCATACGTTGACCTTCATTCATACATTTCACTAGGTTTATAAATTGTTCGTTATTAATTTTATGTACGTTAAACATTCCATTGATTTCATTATTTTTATCTGAATTATCAGCATCGTCATGGTCTTTAAAATCTCCTATATCCAACATTATCTTATCATGTGGGACCCAATCATCCGGTAATTCAGTCTCATTAATATCTTGTTGCTTTTCAACGTTATTTATATCTTCATCTAAATCTTCTTCTTCAATTTTATTGAACTGATAATACATTTGTTGAATTTGTTCAATATTTTTTTCATATACTTCTTGACAATTTATATTTTCTATATCATTGTATTCATTTCTCCAAGGAAAAAACAACATAATTCTTTCCCTATAAAAGTCAGCAGGACTTTTATCGATACTAAATCTTACGTATCGAATAATCTTTCGAATCTTACGCTTATGCATAAACTTGTTGGGTTTCCCAATTAGAACATTACTTTCATAAAATACATCATCATTTGATTCAGCGTCTATTGTATCATCAGACTCAGAATTATCCAACTTTTTATATGATTTTTGTTTACTTTTAATTTCAAAGTCAGCTGCAAATTCAGCTAGAGTTAAATTTTCATAATAAAGTGGTCTACACGAATAATATTCTATTAGTCCATCACAAAATATATCAGTAGATTCAGGATTCATTAGACCCCGAAGAGCAATAGGTTTAACCATGCGAGTTCTTTTATCCGAATGACTTGTATTAATAAATACGTGGCCAGTAGATGTACATGATTGTTTTATTCCTAAACAAGTGTAGACCGCTTCTTGAGCAGATATTTCTTGACTTCCGGAAAATGAAGACGCAATTTTCCATAACTGTGTTTTTACAGACATGTCTGATGATGATTTTAAACTTTCTACTATGTCTTTCATAAGCTTAGATATACCTCTTTGACTTTTTCCTATGTATTCAATGACATATTTGACACAAGAATATGTATCTAAAATGAACTGAATGTCCATATTGGACTCCCATAATGGAAGTAAAATTTCATTAAACCCAGATACCATACGATGTTCCATATCTCTTTTTAAAAATACCATGGGTCGTTTAATTCCAACCCTAATAATAGATTTATATTCATTGTAGGATGTTATTTGTAAATTATGCAACATTTCTTCTATAGATTGGTTTTCTGTAGATTTATAATTCCTTAGGTATTGCATTAAAACTTTGTATTTATGTAACCGTTCTTTATAGTTTGAACTGGTTTCCGGCGTTAGTGGTGTTAATATACAAGTTTCTTTCATTGGAGGATAAGGTATATTAAATCGACAATTGTTAGTCTCTTTGTCTTTTGCACTACGATAACAAGTATGTGTATGACGGTGAGTTTGTTTTGATCTGCTATATGCATTCGCAGGGCTGTCTTCGGAAACCATGCATTGTATATACTTATTTATAAGGGTCACACAGGCGTCAAATGTTTCAGGCTTGGCAGGGTCAAATTGAGGTGCGTTCACAAGCCATAAAATCATGTGAACATGTGGACTACCACGATGCTGATATTCAACACGATAGAAATAATGGTAAACTGGGTGTTCATTAAAAATTCCATTTTTATTTCTTATCAATTTAAATAAAGCTCTAAATCTTTGATCAAAATATGTAGCACAAACAACAGGATCTTCTCTGATTAAATTTGATTTTTCTGCATATGGTAAATTTAAAGCGTCTTCGTCAGATATTTCAATTTTGTGACGTAATTTATACAATATTTTCAATAAATCACTCCATGTTGACTCACTTGGGCTAATTGTTAAAAATATTGTAGGGTGACCTAATTGTCTTACCATCGCAAAAGTATTTTTCCTTACAGTAGCTAAATGTGATGGTGAATTCTGTACATTCTGTAATAAACGGTAGCCTTGATCATCATCAATCATTTTCGTTAGATTTTCAGAATTTGCAACGTCACTAGCTGTTACATTTTCTTTTTTATTTTTTCGCATAATTATTTGTACATTATTTGAAATTTGTTTGTGTACAAAAACTTTACATTTGAAAAATAAATTTGGCGTATCTGCTGCAAAACGCCTATCTATATTCAAAAGTTCTGATCTAATTACCTTGGAGTAATTTTTTAATGGATCTTTAAGTTTTCTAGGATGGCCACCAAACAAATTAGGAAACGCCTTTTCTTCGGCATGGTCATCAATTAAGATGGATAAGGGTCTCATACCTTCACCCGGAGCAAAAGACACATAGTCACCATTTTCAACCATAGTGTCTATAGTTCCTGGGTTGACTAGTTCATCATTGTCACTCTTATCGGACTCTTCACTAACTAATAAGTCTATCTCCTCTGTCATTGTTTGAATATAATTTGTTACATGGCTATACCATTCTTCGTCAATTTCTACACCTTTGTACAATGGTTGGTCTCTAAGATCCATCAAAGCCCTCACAACTAACATAGGGCGAACATTTTGGTATAAATAATGTTGCTTAAAACAAGATTTTCTTTTTAATTTGACTTTCATAATTTTAATAGTAGCCAAATTTTCTGCTTTTCGTGGTAGAATATTGGTTGTTTTTGTCAAGTCAATTGGTACGTTTACTACGCTGCCTTGAATTTTCAATTGACCTTCTCCTCGAAGACATTTGAATACTTTCATAAACGGTAATCGCAGTGATACCATTTGTCTTTCTATTTGGTTAAGCTCTTTAACTGATTGCGGAATATGATTTAATTGAAAACCATTTCCAACATACAATGGTGGAATTTTTAATTTTTTTAAATGACCATAACAACTTGTGCATACTAGTACACTTTCGCTATCATTGTAATCAATGTTAATACTAAGTTGTCTTAATAATTTTTTTGGAGTTTTGATTATGCTACTTGGTAATCTTAAACGGCTACAAGAAACACAAGTTTCAGACAAACCTTGCGTTTTTTTTAAATTATATTCTGACAGTAAAGTTTCCCACTTTTGCCGTTTCGTATTTAATTTTTCCTTTTCATGCAACCTATATGAAGATACATGATAAAAACGTTTTCTACGACTTGACCCTATGCTGCTATTTGAAGAAGCTCTTCTTTTAAGCATTCGAATTTGATTTGCTCTTTGATAGGCCCTTCTCATATCAGGATTTTCTAATTTATTTTTCATATTAATTTTAGCAGCTTCTATATTAGCTTGTTTTATAGCTGGGTCATTCAAACGTTTCTTCATGCTAACCTTAGCAGCTTCTATATTAGCTTTTTTTATAGCTGGGTCATTCAAACGTTTCTTCATGCTAACCTTAGCAGCTTCTATATTAGCTTTTTTTATAGCTGGGTCTTTCAATCGTTTCTTCATGCTAACCTTAGCAGCTTCTATATTAGCTTTTTTTATAGCTGGAACATTTAAACGTTTCTTCATGCTAACCTTAGCTGCTTCTATATTAGCTTTTTTTGTAGCTGGATCATTCAAACGCCTAATCATACTTAAACGAGCTGCTTTTCTATTAGCTTCTTTAATCTCGTTATCCATTAATCTTCTTCTCATATTTTTTAAATTAACTGCATTTTCTAACTTTCTTTTATTAAAATCTAATCGTGCTCTTTTTTTAGCAACTTTCTCATTATTTCGTTCTCTAATTCGAAACTCTTTATTTTTTCGCATAATATGCATGTAATCGCGTCTTTTTTTAATAGATTTTGCAGTTATACCCATTTTGACCCTTCTACTTGTTTCTTTTTTTCTGATGTCAACTATGTTAAATTTATTATCATCATTATATTTTCTGTTTACTAAGTCTACATCATCATTATCATAACTGATATCATCAGTAGGAACACAGTTAGCAAATTCCGGATCATTTAAGTGAAAATTATTTTCAATAGTAGTTTCAACATTTTCATGCGATTCTGAGTTTTGTACTCATATTCTAGCCCAATCAGTTTTATAGCTATTGATAGTTACACTATTACTAGTTATATTATAAATGTTTATACATTCTTTATATACTGACCATCTATTGGTTTTGTTGATTTGTATTTTAAGTTTTCTACAAATATCGTCGATTAAATCTGAGTTAAATGTTAAAAAATTTGACATAGAGTAATTCGATTTTTCTAGAATTTCCATTATTTTAGAACTACTACATCTATTATTTATTGAAAAACTATTGTCTGTTTCAATCACAGGAACCATGTCATTTTTTAAGATTTTCCTTAGACATGAATTTTTATAGTTAATATAGTACAAAATTCGTTTTTTTAATTTTAAGTCATTTGGTTTATTATAAATTTTTTCACAAATATTGACTACACAATTATGTTTA